CCCCGCCAGCCGATTATCGCCTTTGGGGGGGCTACATCTCCATGGCTAAGCCCTGGCCACAGGCAGAAGAAAGGTGACGCATGTCCTCGCCCCACCGGCCGGCCCCACGGCCCACGGAGGAGCTACTGGGGGTCCGCCCGGCGAGGCTTGATGTCGCGGGTCTTCATGTAGGAGAGCAGCTGCTCGGGGATCTCAGCCAGCACGTCCTTGGCCAGGCGGGCCATGCTCAGCACCTGGTTTCCCGAGTCGTCCACGTAATCCCGAAACGGCACAAACTTTTGGGGGAAAGAAGTTTGCAGCCCGGTTGGAAACAACCCTGCGGCTGCGGGGGTCAGCGAGGGGCTGAGCATCTCTCGCTCGCGGTGGGACTGGGCTCAATGCCGGTGTTACCTGTACAATGTCCCTCTCGGCGTAGCGTCCCCGGGAAGACACCCGTACTTCGTCACCATCCAGCTCCTCCATGGCTGGGGGGTCCCAGCCGGTGTCACTGAGCCTCGGTGGGGTGGCCACCGGGGATGGAAACAGCGTCCCTTCCTCCGGGACGCCTTTGGCATCCCGGAGGAAGGGACGGTGTTTCCGTCCCCCTTCCCTGGTGTTCCCAAGCCCCAACTCACCCTCAAACTCAGCCGGACCCACTCCCACGATGATGATGGACATGGGCAAGGCGGAAGCCTGTGGAGCAGAGGCAGGGTGGCAGCCGGAGCAGCACCCAGCGTGGGGTGAACTCACGGCGACGAGGGTGCACTCACGGTGACGATGGCTTCCTTGGTCTGCAGCATGTCGGAGATGACGCCGTCGGTGATGATGAGGAGGACGTGGTACTGCGAGCCGTCGGTCACCTGGGCGGCTGCCCTATGGGGACAAGGAATGGGGTCCCTCCAGCAGCCCCACCGGTGTGGGGCAGCCGGCCCTGCTGTGGGACCGGTGGCATTTGTGGACGGCAAAGGGGGCAGAGGCCCCCGGCGCTCACCCAGCCACCTGGTTGATGACGGGGGCGAAGTTGGTGGGACCGTAGAGCTGGACGGTGCGCAGGCTCTGGAGGTAGGACTCCAGCACGCCCTCGATGCCGGCGCAGCTGGGGTTGTCCGCGTTGTTGTTCTGGGGGACGGGGACGGGCGCTTGGAGGGGGACCACAGCTCCCGGTGTGCATCCCCGGCTGCGGGATGCTGGGGCTGGATGCAGCCAGGGCGGGTGCTTTCCCCCCCCCCGTTCCCCCCCCACCCCAGGGCGCACCAGGGGGAACTGGTGGGAGATCTTGCCGTCGGGTGGGAGTTTGGCGCCGAAGCCGTAGGCAGGGAAGAGCTTGTCGCTGTCGTAGTCCTGGATGATCTCCCCCACTGCCTTGAGCGCCAGGGCGTAGGCGCTCAGCTGGTAGGGGCTCGCGTAGTGCAGCGAGGTGGGCTGCGACGGCATCCCTGCAGCACAGCGCCCATCGGCACCCGCCCCACAGACGGCCCCACGGCCGCATCGACGGGGACCCCCCCCCGCATCGGCTGCACTCACCGTTGGAGGCCGTGAAGTCAATGGCAACGGTGAAATTCAGCTGCGTCCTTGGGAGGAGAGCGAGGGAGGCTGCTGGACCCATGGCACAGGGATGCCGTCTTCCAGCCCCACGGCGTGGCGTGTCCTTCCCGCCCCCGGGACCCATCACCTGGGCCCCCCCTTCCCCAGCCAGCACCCCACGGCCCAGGGCTGCCATCCTTGCGCCCCCTCCCTAGCCGGGGGGTCTCGGGGAGCTGGGGGGCACCCGGCCCCCCACTCACCCGCCCCGGATGTAGTCAACAAAGGTGAACTCGGACTCGACGGAGAAGGAGAGCAGTGTCACCTGCGGGCATGGGGGGGTCAGACCCGGACACACCCCCCCCAGCAGGCACAGAGGGGGGGTCAGACCCGGCCCCCCACAGGCAGGAGCCCCAGGAGCACCCCAGCCCCACTCACGGTGCCGGAGTTCACGTATTTCTTCTTCTTGCATTTCTTCCTGGGGTTCAGCACCTGCGGGCGCAGGGGTGGGTCGGCCCCGGTGTGGGGTGGCCCCCCGGCCACCTGCCCCGGCCACCC